AAGAGAGATCCTAAGGAACTATCAATACTGCTTTAATTCTTTTAAAGAGGGGGGACTCCCCTTGTTTTACCTAAAAGACCTCACTTCAGTATAAAAATAGAGTAAAATTTAATCCTCAAAAAAATTAAGAGAAAAATACTCAAACTCTATTCATATTCCAAGTCTCAATCACTTAACACTCAAGTTTTGTTTGGTAACTTTGATATCTTCGTCAGAGCAGCTATAGCAAGAATTACAGGAATCAAAGCTACAATCTCAAAATGGAACTTGAGCCATCCATAATCTTTACTGTCAAAGCAATTCCTAATAAATTTCAGTTAGGTTAATTCTATTAAGATCTAACATTGTTATCCTTTTTAAGTGAAAACATTTAATTACTTCAGAGGAACGAAGAGACAGTCTGGCTCTGCCACTTCAATATCCGTTTCTCAGGTTGTATGGACATGATATGAATATGGATAGGACCATTTGCTTCTGATATTTCATTTTTCTTTACCCTTCCCTGTAGCCTTACTGAAATTTTATAGTACTTTGCTACCAAAGTGCTTGCAAGGGGAGAGTAGCTCTTTGAAAGTAAGAAAGATCCATAGATTATTTTCTGTTACTATCGCATCCTTCATGACACCTTCAGTGACATAGGTTCGATCCTGAACGGCCAGAGCTGCTGCAGATCTGACCATCTATTTCTTTTGAAACATTAAATTAAAGCTAACCAGGCAAGCTGTTTTTGTCCCTAGAAAACAGTAGGAACATACAATGTAAATTCGATCTCAAGATTGAACAGGAATAGAAAATGAATGATTTCATATGCAGAAAAATGGACAGGACAGCTGAAAGTCCTGTACTGGTTTTGGTAAAGCAGATGCTTTTCTGTGGCAGGTTACGAACAGTTGATTTTATAACAAATAGAAGACAGAAGGTAGCGTAATATATAATTGTTAAAGTCCTTAAGTTGGGGAGTGCTAGAAACCAGGATGATCAAAATCAGCTCAAGGAAAGTCTCTAGCAGATCTTTAACTCAATTCATGCGTCTGCATGAAACATAATCTCTACTAGGTAGAGTCAACCTCGTGGCATTTGTATACTCATCTGATTTAGTACAATTTGGAAAGATAAACAAATGTTTCAATAAATCTGAATTATTTTTCTGATTCTTCAAAGGTAACGTATTTTTAATTTCATTCTGATTATAGGTTTTGCTGGAATTAAAAACAGGTGGCAGATGAATATTTGGTATTTCTGGCAGTGAGTTTGCATATCAATAGAAAACAGAAATTTTCTAATCATATAAATCATATTGTAATCACATGAAAAACAGCTCTTTCAATTTTTCTTAGTGAGAAATGATTTTTAAAAGCTCTAAGAATCAGAGATCCTCAAGGCCAACACCTCAATAACCTGCTATGTAGTGATGAGTCCACAAGATGGTTTAAAAAATACATAAATGTGTATTTTCTTAAAAGACACGTTAAACAGTCAACCATGACCAATCAGGTTTTAAACGGCTGCTGTCAATTAAGAATAAATTCTTGAATTGATTAAATTTTTTCCCATTTTGGAAAATGAAATTGGGTCTTTATTTCTGCCACATCTGCCAACAGTACGGAGAAGGGTATGAAATAAAATAAGCACTGGTGTCCAGCAAAGCTTACCTCCTCCCCATATTTTTTATTGGAAAAATAAAATTTGTTTTCTAGTAAGATATTTCATTTAAAAAAAAATCTGTTTCCACTCAAGGCTAGAGTTCTATTTATTTTTAAATGAGACCTATGAAACCTCCCAAGTGCGACTTAGATTTACATCTGGCTAATCCTCCAAATGTGAGGACCAAGTTCATGCTGTTTATTTCTAATGAGTTCTGTGATTTTTGGATAACACGTGTGAGAGATAGCAAATTAACTACTGCTAGTCAGCAGCAAGTAAGCAAAGGATGTCTTAGGAAGGAGAGTGAGCAAATCCTCCAAGTCCATTTCTAATCACACTTGCCAGAAACTTGGGGGGGAAGGTGATAAAACCTGCCAAGAAAAACCAGTGGTAGAACTTGTTTCCCTTTCCTTTTTCCATGGAATATTTCGACACTTAACCAGCAACTACAGCTCAATCTTTCCTCTCCATAACTTCGGAGCTGCAAAGAAGGCTCTGGTCCCATTGATAGTCTTAGAACAAATGAAAATGCCTCGCACTGCAAAACGTAACACCAATCTTTCTAAGTTCTCTTCCTGAAGCTGTATCCAATTACATAAAGAGAACTGCAGAGGTGAGATGGGAGGTCACTTGCAAGCTATAAAACACATATTCTCCCAAGACATCTGCAGGTGAGTAGACAAACAGTAGTCAAATCTCCTTACCTAGAACTGGCCAGAAATATTGTGCAACATGTCTGCACCCGCTGAAAACAAAGCGACAAACAGAAAAAGCTAGAGACAGCAGACTAACACTCCCCCATATCCCATCACTAATAGTTTAAGAAGGACAGTTCAAAAAGCACTTAGTCATGAGCAGGGTAAGACCCCTGAGATTGAACTGTTGACAAGATATTTTCAGCTTATTTCTCTACTGAATCTCTAACCAAACACAAGTCTTAACCAGTGGTTCTAAACAATGGCTGCAGTTAGAATCATCTGGAGAGCCTTTCGGCCATGTTAACGCTGACCCCCACCTCTTTCACCACCACCACCATCATCACCAACATCACCACCAAACATCCAACTCAACTGAAACCGGAATCTCTTGGGGTCAGACAAGGTGACCAGTCTTTTTTAAAAGCCACCCAGGTGATTCCACTTGCAGCCGGTAGTTGAGAACCATCCCTTTAGAAGTACAGGCATACCTTGTTTTATTGCACTTTACTGTGCTTTACAGGACTTTTTTTTTTTTTTCCAAATGAAAATCAAAAAGATTACAACCCGCTTTAGTGCTAGACTCATTTTATCGCGGTGGTCTGTAGCCGAACCCACAATATTCCCAAGGTATGCCTGCACGCTCTTTTAAAAAGAAGTTAATCTCTCTAACAACTAACTACATTAGACCTCCAATTTCATTCAGTCTATCCTGTCCCAAAAAGTCCTGGTCATGACCTCCACTTTGCCCAGCATACAAGTTTCCAAATGCGACAGCAGGCCGAGCTGGAAGCTCACCACAGGTAGAGATGGAACCAGGCTTGGGACAGGCCCTAGAAGGCAAAGAAAGGCTTGACTCTCTCTTGGGAATTATAAAGCAGAAACTCCCATTATTTTTCATTCATGTTTTTCTCTATTCCTTCTGACACCAAATGTGTGGGGTTTTTTTTCACACCGAGCAATCCTCTAGTTTTCAACAGACCCTGAGTGGATGTCCTACAATTTAATTCAATTCTGACACTCACTGACCCTAGTGAGCACAGTCCTCACTGGTTAAGGGCTCAGTCCCACAACACTGCTCCCCACTTCAGATGCCAACTGCAAGTCCAGGTTGTAACCTGTACCTCTGACCAACTATCTATAAATCAGGGGTTCCTACAACCCCTTCCTCTGGTTCCACAATTTACTAGAACAGCTCTCAGAACTCAAGAAAACAGTTTACTTACCAGATTACTGGTTTATTATAAAGGATAGAACTGAGGAACAGCCAGACGAGATGCCTAAGACAAGGTATGTGGAGCGTTCATGCTCTCTCCAGGCACACCAGCCTCCCAGTTCAACCAGGAAGTTCTCCAAACCCCTTCTTATAGGATTTTTACAGCAGCTTCATTAAGTAGGTATAATTGATTAAATGATTGGCCACTGGTGATTAACTCAACCTCCAGCCCCTCTCCTCTCCCAGGACATCCAGGGATGAGGCTGAAAGTGTCAATCCTCTAATCACAGGATGTTTCTCATAGCAACCAGACCCCTTATTTAGGAGCTTCCAAAACCTCAATTTATTAACATAAACTCAAGCGTCTTTGAAAGGGGCTTGTTTTGAATAACAAAAGATGGTCCTTTCACCGTTATCACTCCAAAGCTGTTTCTGGTGCTAGGGACAATAAACAAATATTAGAACAAAGATACTCCTTTTGCTCTTAGGAAATCGTGAGAGTTTTAGGAACTCTGGTCAGGACCCAGAGACAAATACCAAAATACGTCTTAGTATATCACAGTGATCCAGGTATAAGTATTTTGAGTGTCTCAGGATAAGCTACTGTGTTAAACACAAAGACAAGTGTACAACAGGGTGTGTAGAGAGCATAAAATTTTGATTTTCTTTAGATTAGTAGTTCCTTAACTCTACTATGCATTGGAACCACCTGGAGGGCTTGTTAAACCACCCTACGGAGTCTCTGATTCAGCCCATCTGGAGTAGGGCCATTTGCATTTCTAACAAGTTTCCAGATGATGCTGATGATGTTGCTCTCAGGGCCACACCTTGAGAACCAGTGCTCTAGACTAAACTTCTGGCACCTGAATGTTTTAAATACCAAACAGATTTGTTTTTATTTTTTCCCCAGTTTTATTGAGATGTAATTAACATATAGCAGTGTATAAGTTTAAAGTGTACCATATAACGATTCGACTTACTTATACTGTGAAATGACTATGACAGTAAGTTAACATCCATAATCTTATACAGGTCAAAAAAAAGAGAGAAACCATATAGAAGTATTAGCTATAGCCATGTTGTACATTACATCCCTAAGACATTTGTTTTTACAGTTATCCGTCTCTACAATGGGAGTATTGAATATTGACTGGATATTTGACTTGAAGGAATTATTAACTATTATTTTAGGTGTAAAAATAGTATTTACGTTTCAAAAAACAAAGTTATCTTTCAGATAGACAATGAAATAATACTTGAAACGCAACAGGCATGGTTGACATCTTCCATGAACCCAACCTCCCACTAAAGAGGCAAGAAGAACCAGAGGAACAATAACCATTAGGATCTTTGGGGCAGCCCAGGAAAGAGCAAGCACCATGCTGTAGCCACAAAGGGAAGCAGCTCGATCCTTATCTGGAAATCGTCCCCATCCAGAGTCTTACCTGAACTGAACATGCTGGGTGTTAAATGCTTCTGTAGTCTCCTGAGAGTACTAGGAGAGAAAGGGAAACTGAGTCAAAAGTTGTAAGAGTAAACTGAAGAACACAGTAGAGTAAGGTTTCAGTACACATCTCTACCTCAAAGGTTCCTACTGGAAATTTTGGAAAGTTGATTATTTATTAAACTATGCCTTTAAGAATGGCCTTGGATTGACTACTATAGAGCAGGGGTCCCCAACTCCCGGGTTGCACGCTGGAACCCATCTGTGGTCTGTTAGGAACCGGGACGCACAGCAGGAGGTAAGCGGTGGGCAAGCAAGCGCTAGCATCACCGCCTCAGCTCCACCTCAGATCATCAGGCATTAGATTCTCATAGGAGCACCGGTCCCTTGGAGACCACTTCTCTAGAGCCAAACAGGGGACTCACTACAGAATGCTAAGCCCTCTCCCTGCCCAGAGAAAGCTGGAAGTAACTCACAAGGCACCAGCTCTGCTATTCTTATTCTAAGGCACTGCAAGCACGACACTCATTCTCTTTCTGGGTCTAGGTGTCATTATCTGGGAAATGAAGTGGTTTAGATGTTCTTCATAGTGACTTTCAAAGCTAACAGTACATTACTACACATGAAAATACTAGCCCTGGGATGTAATCAGAATGAAAGAAAGGGAACTAACATAAATATATATGCTAGACCCTATTTTCTGTAACTTATTTCATTTAACCTCTAAAACGGTTTTGTAAGAGTAGTCTCTACAGCAACAGAGGGCTACTGACTGTGGCTGTGAGTGAGCAGTAACTTGCCCAAGGTCATAGAACTAGAACTAGCAGTAGCAGAGCCACAGAGCAAAACCAGGAGCTGACTGAACTCCAAGGGAGAAGTTCTTCCCCCTATACCATGGGCAATTTACTGAGTGTCATGCTGCTACTGCTAGGGTCATATCAAAGCCACGGTGAACTTCAACTCCAGGACTTAACAAAGACGGGTGAATTATATCAAGCGTTAAGTTTGTTTTCTGCGCCCAGACTTAGCTTTTTAAAAATTCTGATATTTTGTGAGAATGTATTTGATTATAAAATAATTGCCCGACAGAATACCCAGCAAAATTACCTTATAACATTTCTAATTTTTTATTCAAAAAAATCTGTATTTTCCTTTCTCGAATATTTATTTTTAAAAAAGCAGCTTATTACAACAGACTATGTATAGATACAACAAGGAAGAAACCTGGAGATCTTGCTCTCCCTTAAGATCTTTCCATACACTCCAAATATTTATTTTCTAAGCACCTGGTTCCAAAAGCAAAGTTTTTGGCAAGTCTTCAAAAATTCAACTATTTCACATAGTGGCGATTTTTTTAAGAAGAAATAATTTTGTAGGGATTAGCAACATACTGCATTCCCGTTATAGGCCAAGACAGTGAGGCAGCATCAGTGGATGAACACACTGCATAAAGCAACTGTCTGGCTCACAGGGGCTCAAGGTCATTTTTCTTATAGGGATTCGCATAATTTGCTACGTACATTCGTCCTGTGAATCAGGTGGCAAGACAACCTATTAGATAGATCAGTGGTCTGATCCAGGGCACAGCTGCTCTGCTCCTCCAGGCTTAAAATAATTCAGCACTATCAACCTCGCCCATTAAGTACAATTAATTTTATGAAATGGAGAAAATAAGCATGGGTAAATAAAATGGCTGACACACACTACGCACAGCAGAAAACACCAACTGTGCACCCGGCAGCAGCTGACCTCAAGGTGCTAATGAGGGAGTTCTGTAAAGACTGCATTAAAAAGTACCCTGCATTTAGCCAGCCCTAACTGAAATCCAAACTTTTCTCGCACACCACAGCAGGAGGGCCTTACTAATTGGAAAGTGCAGAACACATGGCCTGAAACATGTTTCGGCAGCACATACCTCCAGAGCATTCTGAACCTCTCTCTCTCTGTCTCTCTTTCTGTCTCTCTCTCTGTCTCTCTCTCTCTCTCTCTCTCTCTCTCTCTCTCTCTCTCTCTCTCTCTCTCTCTCTCTCTCTCTCTCTCTCTCTCTCTCTCTCTCTCTCTCTCTCTCTCTCTCTCTCTCTCTCTCTCTCTCTCTCTCTCTCTCTCTCTCTCTTACACACACACAGTTTTTAGCTCTTAAAAAATCTAAATGTCCACAATAATAAAAGTGGTTTTAAGAATTAAAGTACGTTTGTGCGATGGTTAAAAAAAACAACACAGGTGGAGAGAGTTTCTATAACACAAATTTCCCCATAAGTCTGACGGTAATGACCAGAGACAGAAACAACAAAAGCTGCCTGGTGAAAAGGGGCCCTCTAACAACATTAGCTTATAGTTCGAAAGGAAGATGGTTGCTCTGAATTTCCCTTTATACATAGCAACTTCAAAAACTCCCTATTTTCTTAGTACATCTTTATGTAGGGAAGCCTGTGTGCCTTTGAAGCCTCAACACAAAACAAACAAGAGTCTTCACAAGTCCTGTTTGGCCACCCAGGGAGAATCAAATAGTATTTTTTTTTTCTCCAGTAGGCCACCCCAGGATACCACAAATAAAAAGGAAAATGAGGAATTCATCCTGTAACCAGGATGTATTTTTCTGGTTAGTAATTACACCATTTTAATCTAAATATTATGGTATATTTTTTCACTAGCAAAACCAAAGGAGCACTAATTATTTGTTTTTTTAAGCAAAAGCATTGAAATAGCAGAAAACAGGTTAAAATCAAGGAAACATCAGAGAGGGGGGAGATTAAGAAATGTTCTCCTCAAAGTCCCCAAAACTGAGGAGATTTCTAAAGTGCTGTGTCCGGAATGGCAGGGGGCGGTGGAGCCAGCGCTGGGAGCTCCTTACCATAAAAGCCCAGAAGAAACTCTCAAAGGCTCTCACAGCAGGGGGCTTTGGGGAGGGGTTTCCTCAGCATCACACTGAATTGCTGAGTTACATGAAAGTATTTTAGAATCACAAGAAGGTATTACAGTCATAAACATCCTGAAATGTACTCCTCTAATCATGGCCCATCCCCTGCACAAAATCTCCATTTGGGCCAAATAAAAACCAGATCCTGGGGGGAAAGAAAAAAAAAAAAAAACAGATCCTATAGCCAGACACTGAGAGCCTCTCCTATCAAACCCAAGCTGCCTTTTGTAAATAATATTTTTAATTTTTCAATTATAGTTGGCATGCCATATTTTATTAGTTTTAGATATACAACATAGTCATTAGACATCTATATAACTCATCAAGCGATCACCCCGATAAATCTAGCACCCCTCTGACACCATACAGTTATTACAATATTATTGTCTATATTCCTTATGCTATACTTTATATCCCCATGACTATTTTGTAACTACCAATTTGTACTTCTTAATCCTTCACCCTTTTTTATTGATCGCCCCCAACCCCTTCCCATCTGGTAACTCTCAAAATGTTTTCTGTATGTATGACTTTGTTTCTGGTTTTTTTTTGTTTTTGTTTTGTTTATTTTGTTCTTTAGATTCCATATGTAAGTGAAATCATATGGCATTTGTCTTTCTCTATCTAACTTACTCTACTCAGCACAATACCCTCTAGGTCCATCATGAAATATCTTTTCCTATCCCTTTATTTTTTGTCTGTGTGTGTCTTTTAATCTGAAGTGAGTCTCTTGGAGGCAGCTTATGTAAGGGTCTTGTTGAGGCCGGGTTTCTACTATTACCATCGCGACACAGTGTTCTAGCCCCCCTGACGTCCCTGCTGTTCCTCAGGAATGCAGGCTCTTCTACCTGGTCTCTCCAGTGAGGAGGATGGTCTTTTATTCACCTGAGATGTCCTGTGTCCTCATTTCTTCACTGACTCAACGTTGAAGAGAGAAGGATGAAATAAGGTTAATAGGACCTATGTTTGTATTCTTTCCAATGTCTTGTACATAACCAAACTGTAAGACTCTCAGGATTCTAGAATTAAAAGGACCTTTTAAATAATCTAGACAAAACCCATTCTTCTATAGATAAGAAAACTGAGTCCAAATGAGATGAATAACCATCTGATGAAGAATAGAACCTCTTCCTACATGACAAACATGAACGGGTAGATGGATGGGCAGATGAACAAATGGACATAGCGACAGACCAACCAGCAATCAGCTACAGCACCCAAGATACTGTCAGGATTCAAACCCTGACCCACCATATAACGACCAGCTCACCACTCAAGCTTTCTTCATCTACTAAAAATTTTTCAATGCCATTTCTTTAAAATTCATTATAAAATCCGGATCAATAAAATTCATCATTCAAAGGGATTTGAAACAGTATTTATCTTCAACAACAGGATCTCTTAATTAAAGAATAATTGTATTCAAAACTTTTCAGATAAACAGCAGTTCGCCTTTACCTTGTGTAGCTGATTCATGCCATAACTTTTACGGAAAGCCAATACGATGTGCCAATCACATGCCTGTCCCCACAGGAAGCTCATAGACCATCCCTGTGAAGAGCTCCAGCTCAATGTCACTTCTTGCTCTTCTCCTCCATTCTGCCACCTCCATCTGTCCCCACATTTATTCAGTAAAGTGCTGTACCAGCATGATAAACCTCATCACAGACATAATGAGAAAACTGTGGAAAGGCAGATTGCAAAGCACCTGGCAAGCACTTAAGGTTCTGGATGTAGGAGCCCATTTCCCTTCACTCTATAAGATTCATAAAGTGTCGCAATGCTCTCAGATGGCAGGAAGTCCTGAACTAAGACTTGGAACATATGAAGAACTTCTCAGAATGCCTCCCTACAGAACCACATGACTGACAGGAAGCAGCCTTGGGAAGCATTCTGTAGTGTTGCTGCACCACATTCAAAACTGCCCATACCTCTTAGAACTTTGAAACTGACTGGAAATGTGACATGGCTAACACACCAAGTAAAAAACTTATGGCTGGGGTTATTGGGAGGTGAGATAAGATGTGGAAAGCAAGTTCACAGCAGCTGAAGAAGACAACACACAAAACGAATTGCCATAACATCGTGCTAATTACTGTCCTTTCCCTGGCCAGGTTCCAGGATACTCTAGATC